GTGGCTCTTGGGCTGGGGTAAATTAGCTCTTCTGTGGCTCATTTACTGCATCTTCAATGAGTCTAAGAGGCACGTACCCTTCTCAGGAGATCCATTCGCCCCACTTTCTGGAAAGTGGCCTTGCACTGTATAGCTCAGATTGTCCTTGAGGTCCAGCCATCTCTGGAACAAACTGAGTTGTGTGGCTCTAGGACAGGTCATTTTTCCCTCTCACACCTGGCCAGTGCAGAGCCCTCTTCATAGGGCCCAATCTTGTCCTGTTTGGGCCTGATAAACTCTGCTGGCCTCACAGTAATGAGTCCTTGACATTCTGCTCCATTACAAAAGTCTGAGGGTACCCAGCAGGGGCAGCTGGTCCTAGCATATTCTGGAACTTTTACTGAGTTGCCTCAGACCTACCACTGGCAAAAAGTTTGAGTCTGTATTATTCACTTGAACACCACTCACCCCTACCTGGTGTTTCACTGAGAACCCACCTCATGCAACTCAAGTATCAACAGGTTCTTTCAGGGATGGAGCCTAATAGGCAGTGGGCAGGTAGATACAGGTGGATGCAGGTGAGGATAGATCTCAGGGCACCTTGGGACATTTGTTGACCTGCCCCTGGGCTCAGGCTTGTGGAGACCAGCCTTAGTGCCCTTCCCATGCACACTCAGACCTAGCAGTAGAGCTTGGTATTGTTAACAATTAACATATTTTAATAAATGTTTGGATTAGCTATCCTTTGCATTTAAATCTATATACCCTCACCCCTTTACATTTTGTAAATATAGATATATCTTGTAAACCAAACCATGGAATCAATTTATACTGTGATTAAAAGTTTTTAAATTTTCAGCATTTATATGTTAAATTATACTGCTTCATTATTTTCTAATGAAAATTCACTTTTGTGAATTCACATTTGTTTTCCTCAAAAGGCCCACACTTTAAGAGTTTCCAGAATTGGTACATTTGAGATTTTAATAGCAAAATCAATTTTTACACAACACTTACTTTTTCTATGATCAAATCAGTTTGAACCCATGGTTCTAAGTCGTTGGAGGTGGTGTCAGGCTTCTATTTCCACTAATTTTCACTCCACAGAAAGCTCCCTTCTCCCAAGCCCTCTCCTCACTCCTCCCTTAGAGGGAAGACTGGTGTGATAGGCCAGATTCCAGAGCACAGTAAGCAGTACCACTCTGCACTGAAAGGTAACACCCATGCATGTAGGACATGTCCATAAATTTTTCTGTCTTACTATAATAAGTAGTAAGTGGAGCCATTGCCTACTTGTGAAAGTTGGATACCACCATATTACTCTGTCTTCCTGTCTTTTCACTGGAGATTTTCGGCTCTGCCATCCTGGCACATTAGGAGTCAGCTAGTGGTAAGAGGCAGAATTAGGGTCAAAGAGATCTTGTTTCATCCTTGAACCCAAGCCCACACCTCAAACCAACTCAACAAGAAGGCTGACAACTGGCCCAGTGAATGACATTCCACATTTTTCTGTGTGTATTTCCTTTAGTGAAAGCCCAGGGAGAGGTTGGAGCAACAGTGTAGGGTGAGGGGGCATTGTTCTGTTCTCTGAGAAAAATACTAGTCCCATTCTGTCAGATTCTCACCAGGAACTCCACACCCTCAGAGTTTTCTCACTCTACTGCAGTTGGTGAATACACATATGCAAAAGTCATAACCCACATTGAAATGCCACATGTACCCATTCAAATAGATGTGCCCTGAGGTACTGTCGCTCTCTTCAGAGGGCAGCAGTTGGTGTTTGCAGGCATGGTTGATGGACTCCGTGTATGAAAAGGCAAGGTGCATTTCTACTGTTCTTAGTTGTTTCAATCATTTGCAAAGTCATCATTCCCTCCCTGTTCTCCTTTCTGCTTCTTCCCCATTCTTTCCTTAGGGAATTCTCTCCTAACTGGCCTTTTGGGCACCTGCTGTCAATTTTGGGTTCATGACAGGATGTCACCACCAGTGTCCTTCTGTCTTCCCTGGGGGCACATGGTAATGCAAAAACAGAGCCACTGATAACCTGAATGTGAGGACTGGTTGATAGCAAGACTGGTCAAGGCCTCCTGAATTCTGCTTCTTAATCTGTTTGCACAATAAGAACATTGACTCACTTGGACATCATTTTATCTTCCAGGAATTTGACCTCGACATTTACATTCTGCAAACTGGTAAACATATCCCAGGCTAAGTTACTGGTTTCTGCTGTTTCTGACTTGTCTCAATTATTGTTAAAATGGGATACTTCAGCTCATCTTCAGTAACTATTCTCACATATCTCACTAATTATTGTCTTCTCTTACACAATATTGTTTTATGTACCTCACATTTTATAATTGCCTTGAAATATAGAAAACATATTGTCTTTCATCTATCACTGCTGTATATTTTAAACTGTTTCCTGCAACACTGATACCACTCTATAACATATATTTTCCCTTGCACAATAATCTCACACTTATAGGCTCATGTCAACTATTAATATGATCATAGTCAAAGTGGGGTGACATACATTTCTGTTTGATGAGCAGTTGCCAAATATGCCTCCACATGAGCAGGACGATTGTGCTCTATAGTCTCTATAATCCGCCTAAACTGCACGTTCTACAAGTTTCTTCACTGTTGGAAAGTCAATTCCCTGTTCCCATAGGCTCTGGTAAAGTTGCATTCCTCTGTGTTCCAAAATAAATCCTCCAGTGAGACCACACCCATGTCACACGGTGCCATCACTCAAACTTAGCCCTAGTGGAATGGTCTAACAGTAAGTACTCCATAATACATTTTCAGGAAAGGGGTATGAAAGATGTCATGACAAGTGTGAGATTGTTATCGCAAAGTGGTTTCAGAATGGAAGGAACTTTTTCATTTCAGTTTATCTGAACACTGACTATGTTGGGTAAAAGACTCAGTAACAGACAATGTTGACAATACTGGATCACAGTGAATTACAGGACAAAATGTAACTTGAGAAATTTTTTAAATTTTGCACCTTATTTTTTAATACTCACCTTGGCATTTGATCATCATAATTGATAATATTTATTTGTGTCCAGGACTAGCTTTTTCATGGCTCCTGCATATAAGTTCCCTATTTAGTAAATTTATTTTTATCTAACATATTAAAATACCAGCATGAGTAATTTTGATAAAAAATTCAAATAGTAACATCCCAGTGTCCCAGAAAGGGCATAGAGGTTTTTCATGAAATATTTAAAGAATTCTCAAGAGAAATATTTTAGCAATGACAAATGGAACAGTTCATGCTATTTGTCACATGGAAGAGGAGACCTACCTCCACCAATCTTGTCTGTTCCTTACAGTGCTTCCATTAAAAATTTTCTAAAAACAAAATCCTGTCAAAATTCTTTGAACAATCAAATACACAATAAAGATAAAATTCTTCACCATATGCCTTTTTACAAACTTGGTTTGTATTTGATAGCAGCTTTAGCTTCATATGAAAATTGAGTGGAAAGTATAGAGATTTTCTATACAACCCCTGCTTCTACTCGTGCATAGACTCCCCCATTATTAATATCCCACACTACAGTGGTACATTTGTTACACTTAGTAGTTATACATTGGCACATTATTGTTGATGCTTGGTGGTACATTCTATAGGTTTTGGCAAATGTATAATGACATCTATCTATCAGTATAGTATCATCCAGAGTACTTTCATTGGCCTAAAAATCCTCTATTTTATGCCTATTCATCCCTCTCTCATTTGTAACCTCTGCCAGTCACTGATCTTTTTATTTTCTGCATAGCATTGCCTTTGTCAACATTTGGCAGAATGTTTCCCTATATATATCACACAGTATATAGGTTTTTCAGATTGGCTTCTTTCACTTAGTAAGATTCTTTTAAGTTTTATCTGTGTTTTTTCATGACTTGATGGCTCATTTCTTATTAGAACAGAATAATATTACATTGCCTGGGTTAGGAAAGTGGTTTTTGTCCATTTACCTACTAAAGGATATTTGCTTCCAAGTTTTGACAAATATGAATAAAGCTATTATAAATATCTGTGCCCAGGCTTTTGTGTGGACATACATTTTCAACTCCTTTGGGTACATACCCAAGGGTCAAATAGTAACACCCCAGTGTCGCAGTGTCCAATTGTGCCCATCAGCACAATTATTGGATCTTATGGTCAGAGTAGGTTTTGTTTTGTAAGAAACTGCCAAACTAGCATCAGTAGCCATCAGAGAGATGCAAATTAAAACCACAGTAAAATACCACCTCACACTGGTCAGAATGGCCATCATAAACAAAGCAATAAGCGACAAGTGTTGGAGAGGTTGTGGAGAAAAGGGAACCTTAGTGCACTGTTAGTTGAAATGCAGACTAGTGCAGCCACTGTGAAAAACAGTATGAAATTTTCTAAAAAAAACTAAAACTGTAATGGCCTTTTGACCTGACAATTTCACTGCTGAGATTAGACCCTAAGAACACTGAAACACCAATTCAAAAAAACCTATACACCCCAAAGTTTATAGCAGCACAATTTAAAATAGCCAAGTATTAGAAGCAAACTAAGTGTGCATAAGTAAATGAGTGTCTCAAAAATGTGCTACATTATACCATGGAATACTATGCAGTGGAGAGAAAGAAGGAGCTCCTCCCTTAGAGACAGCATGGGTGGAACTGGAGAGCATTATGCTGAGTGAAATAAGCCACGTGGTGAAACACAAATACCTTATGACTTCACCTATAAGGGGAACCTAATCAACAAAACAAACAAGTAAGCAAAATACAACCAAAGACATTGAAATAAAGAACAAACTGACAGTAACCAGAGGGGAGTGGGGAGGGGGATAATGGGGGAAAAGAAGGGGAAGAGTCTTCAAGGAATATGTACAAAAGGACCCATGGACAACACTAAAGGGAGGAAGGATCGAGGGTAGAGGTGGGGGTGGGTGGGGTGGGGAAAAGTGGTGGGGAGAAAACGGAGACAACTTTACTTGAACAACAATTAAAATTTTTAATAAAAAATAGTGCTCAATTCGGCAGCACATACACTAAAATTGGAACATTATACAGAAGATTAGCATGGCCCCTGAGCAAGGATGACACCCAAATTTGTGAAGCATTCCATACTTTTGAGTGAACGGAATGAGAGGGATGTTTAGCATATCCAGTATGAGTGGTGGATGGGGAATGTAATCAATCCTTGTCACTGACTCTTGGTCAATATTACTTTAATGAAAAAAAAATGAAACAACAGTTTTGCAATACCAGCGTGTGATTTATGCTTTAAATGGAAATCAGGATTGTTCTAAAGACTTAAGTATTTTTTAATATAAATATCATCTAGGATGTAACAACTAAGTTGTATAAATTATAACTGTTAAACAATTTTTAGTTTTTCTCAAGTTAGTTTTATTGTAGGAGGTACTTAAGCAGTAAGTATATTTAGGTTAAAGCAGTTGAATTATGTTCAATGTTGCTTTTATACCACATTACCTTGAACACTCTTTGGAAGCATGTTGAAAGACATGCTTTTTTTGTAAAATTCAATAGAGGAGCTATCTCTACAATTAAAAGTGAAACATTTGGCATGTTTGTTAATTCTAGTTTTCATTTAATAACTTCTAAGGCATGTAAGGTTAAGCTTTTTTTTTAATTTAATGGGGAAAACTTGAGACGCAATACCAATACTTTAGGATTTTGGTCTTGGTGTTTGCACGAAATTCTGAGGCTTTAATTTATGTCTTTCACTGCATTGTGAGTTCCTTTTGGGTGTATCGCGCTAAGTGAAACTTGTCAAATGAATCTTCCTTTTAAAAATGGCGAAAAAATTTTAATGAAAAATAAGTAAATAAAAATTTTTAAAAAGAAAAAAGAAAAAGAAGCTCAAACTGTCTTCCGAAGTGTTGCATCATTGTGCATTCCCTCTACCCGTGAATGAAAGTTCCTTTTGTTCCACGTTACATCAGCATTTGGTAATGTCAGTGGTCAGGGTTTTGTCCTTCTGATGTGTGTGTAGTTGTATCTCATTGATATTTTCATTTTCCCTGATGTCGGGACACAAACAGGAGGCAACCGATCACTGTTTCTCTCTTACTATCTACCTATCTCTCCCCCCACCTTCCTCTTTTTAAAAAATCAGTAAAAACATATCCTTGAGTGAGGAATTATTGTTAAATGCCAAATACTCAAATGTGTCTGAACTGCAAGGTAGCGGAGTACTAACTCAGGAATAGTTGCAGTTCAGTGGAGCAGGATAGAGCCTCAGAAAGGAGCTCAGTGAATGATGGCCACTGTTTTCTTTGATTGATATTTTGATATGGTAGGTTTGGTAAAAGCTGAATTATTCAGAATACTGGCATATAGGTAGTATGACTTTTAAGTGATCTTAGTATTTTAAAATGTTTAAATACTTTAAAAATTATGAAAAGGAAAAGTATCTTCCAATTATTAGGAAACAAAATTATTGCTTTTAACTATATATCACTTTCAAAAACCGTTGGTCGTGAATTATTTACATAATTCAGGCTACAGATTATTTTAGCTATTTGCTGTAAAGAGGTTTCCACGACATGACTGATGACAAAGTCCATTAACTTCCTTCCATTAGCTGTACTCTTATGCGTACTTTACTCTCAAGTGTAAGACAAAAATTTTGCTGTTTATCGCTAATAATTTACTGTTACTTTTGCTATTTCCTACTGAATGAGACTCACTTATGGAACATTACAAACAGGGCCCTTGCACCTAAATATAACTAGATAATTTAACATAGTAAGTTTAGGGTTGCTGCAGTAGGGGACTGGTGTCACCACTTAAGATTTGTCATTGTTTCACAAAGGCACACAGTTTTACTCCTTCAGAAAAGTATGGGCTTCTTAATTTTTATTTTTTTAATTTTTTCGATTCATTTTTCAGTTACAGTTCACATTCAGTACTATTTAATATTGATTTCAGGTGTATAGCATAGAGGTTGGAAAATCATGTACTTTAAAAAGGATCCCCTAAACAGTTTCAGTACCAAACTAGCACCACACATAGTTATTATAATATTATTGGATATATTCCCTATGCTTTACTTTATAACCCCATGACTATCTTGTAACTACCAACCTGTGCTTCTCAATCCATTCACTATTTTCACCCAGTCCCCCAACCCTCCTCCCCTCTGGCCACCATCAGTCTGTTCTCTGTATCTATGAGTCTATTTCTGTTTTGCTTGTTCATTTATATTGTTCTTCATTTTTTAATATATTTTTTTATTTTATTGATTATGCTATTACATTTGTTCTATTTCCCCCTCCATTCCCCTCCACCCTGCACACCCCTCCCTCACCATCCCCCCCTTTAGTTCATGAACATGTGTCTCAAGTTCTTTAGATTCTATATTTCCCATACTATTCTTACCCTCCCCCTATTTATTTTCTATCTACTGTCTATGCTACTTATTTTCTGTACCTTCTCCCCCCTTCTCCTTCCCCCACTCCCCTGTTACTAACCCTCCATGTGATCTTCATTTCTATGGTTCACTCCTGACCTAGCTATCCTCTTAATTTGCTTTTGTTTTAGGTGTAGTTGTTAATAACTCTGAGTTTGCTGTCCTTTCACTGTTCATTTTTTTATCTTCTTTTCTGTAGGTAAGTCCCTTTAACATTTCATATAATAAGGTTTTGGTGATGATGAACTCCTTTAAGTTGACTTATCTGGGAAGCGCTTTATCTGCCCTTCCATTCTAAATAATAGCTTTGCTGAATAGAGCAATCTTGGATGTAGGTCTTTGGTTTTCATGATTTGAAATACTTCTTTCCAGCCCCTTCTTGCCTGGAAGGTCTCTTTTGAGAAATCTGCTGACAGTCTGATGGGAACTCCTTTGTAGGTGACTGTTCCCTTATCTCTTGCTGCTTCTAGGATTCTTTCCTTTATTTTAATCTTGGCTAATGTAATGATGATGTGCCTTGGTGTGTTCCTTCTTGAGTCCAACTTCTTTGGGACTCTCTGAGCTTCCTGGATTTCCTGGAAGTCTATTTCCTTTGCCAGATTGGGGAAGTTCTCCTTTATTATTTGTTCAAATAAGTTTTCCACTCGTGGCTGTTCCTCTTCCCCTTCTGGCACCCCTATAATTCAGATGTTGGAATGTTTAAAGATGCCCTGGAGGTTCCTAAGCCTCTCCTCATTTTTTTGAATTCTTGTTTCTTCGTATTTTTCTGTTTGGTCATTTTTTCCTTCCTTCTGGTCTGCTCCCTTGATTTGAGTCTCAGTTTCCTTTCCATTACTATTGGTTTCCTGTGCATTCCATTCATTTCAATTAATTTAGCCTTCATATGTTCCTCTAATTTGTGACTAAAATCAACCAGTTCTGTGAGCATCCTGATCACCAGTGTTTTGAACTGTGCATCTGAACGTTTGGCTATTTCTTCATCACTTAGATTTATTGGCTCTGGGGCTCTGAGTTGTTCTTGAGCCATGTTTTGATCTGTTTGTGCCTGTTACGTATGAGGAGAGGTACCTTAGATGTTCACCAGAGTAGGGCCACCCAGGTCGCTGGTTTGTGATGCTGTATGTGGGGGCGGTCCTCTCCGCTTGCCTGGTCGCCTCGCAGCTTCTGCCCACCTGTTTATCTGAGCGCAAATGTGTGAGCCCACCACCCTGCACCGCCAGGGCCTGCGCAATCTGTCTCAATGCTCGTCTCTTTACTCGTTTATCTGTGCACAAATGCGCAACCGACCGCAGACAGCCAGCAGCACCTCGTCTTCCCTGAGTCCGCCTGTAGCTAGCCTGCACCTGAGATCCGTGCCCTCAGCTGCCTGTGCACCACCTGGGTCTGGGGATCTTTTTTGCCCAACCCTCTCTGCTGCTGGCTTCGCCCCTCTCACCGGTTTAGCTGAGCGGTTCGTTATTTTTGGACTCGGTATTGTTCGATTTTCTGTGTGGTTTGGTTATATTTATTGTTATTAAAACTTTGTTGTTTTTAGATTTGGTTGTGCAAGGAAGCAAAGTGTTTCCACCTACACCTTCATCTTGGTGGAAATCTCCTATGTTGTTCTTTAGATTCCACATGTAAGTGAAATCATATGGTATTTGTCTTTCTCTGACTGACTTATTTCACTTAGCATAATACTCTCTGGGTTCATCCACACCATTGCAAATGCTAACATTTTATTCTTTTCTATGGCCAAAAAATATTATATTGTATACATGTACCACTGCTTTTTTATATACTTGTCTACTGATGGACACTTGGGTTGCCTCCATATCTTGGCCATTGTAACTAACACTGCAATGAACATAGAGGTGCATATATTCTTTCAAATTGCTGTTTTGGATTTCTTCAATTATGTACTCAGAAGTGGAATCACTGGATCATAAGGCAGTTCCATTTTTTATTATTTGAGGACCCTTCATGCTCTTTTCCACTGTGGCTGCACCAATCCTCATTCCCAAAAACAGTGCATGAGGGATTCTTTTTCTCCACATCCTCACCAACACTTACTGTTAGTGGATTTATTGGTGATAGCCATTCAGGGAGGTATGAGGTGATATCTCATTGTGGTTTTGATTTGCATTTCTCTGATGATTAGTAACATTGAGTAGCTTTCCATAGGTCTATTGGCCACCTATCTGCTTATATGCTTGGTTGGATAAGTGTTTATTTAGGCCCTCTGACCATTTTTAATTGGATTCTTTTTTTTTCTTTTGCTGTTGAGTTGTATGAGTTCTTTATAAAATTTCAATATTAACACCTTTTGAGATATATCACTAACAAATATGTTCACCCATTTCACAAATTGCCTTTTCATTTTGTTGATGGTATCCTGTGCTCTGCAGAAACTTTTTACTTTTTGATATATAGATCTCCTTGCCTAGGGTAATATATCAGAAAAAATTGCTAATAGAAATGTCAGAGATTTTGTTGCCTGTGTTTCCTCCTAGGAGATGTATGGCTTCTAGTCCTACACTTAAGTCTTTGTACCATTTTGTGTTTATTCTTGTGAACATGGTATAAGAAATTGTTCACCTTTCACTTTTGTCCATATACTTGTCCAATTTTCCCAACACCATTTATTGAAGAGGCTATCTTTACACCATTGTATGCTCTTGCCTCCTTTATCAAATATTACTTGACCATATAAGCAT